ATGCATATATGTCTCAGAACAAACACAACAATAAAGTGTGAACAGATCAAACCTCTGCGTAAGTCTCAGAGCGATGCTGACTTCAGTCAGTGCTTGTTTGTCATTCCTTCCAGCAGCTGCTTAAATACTCTCTTGATAAAAGGACTGATGGTTGACTGCCAGTTTATAAACAATACACACACACTGCGCAGGTAGAGTATTTACAGGTGCAGGCACGCATTATGTGTATGTTTACAGAGAACTGGATTCCAGTGCCAGGAATAGTGAAATAAGCAAACAAGTAAATCCACTCAGCATAAGCAGTGGGGTTGGAGGAAGAAAAAAGGGCAGTACCTAGGATAAATGAATGAGATGACTTTGGATTCATTTCCAGATCCCCACTGTGTTCCATAATGGGTCATCTGCAGTCTCTAGGCCAGACTCTGGCAGCCAGACATGGCTGGAATATTGCTCAGAATTTCTCCATTGATTTGCAAGTCACTACTCAGTGCCAGGCAGGGAAGCAGAAACTAGTCCTGTCATTACTGAATTCTTATGTTTCAACTGCCCCAGTGGCCAAGTTGGAGCCCCTTGGTTCTGGGCTTTGTATTAACATACAGAAAGTAAGTTACAATATTGAATCATAGTTCTTAATTAACTAAATTTTAGCAAAGGGTTCCGTTCTGGAACACATCTTAGCTTTCGATTGTTATGGTCTCAGTGATTCAAAGGCAGAATTTACAATTAAAGAAAAAAGATGGGCTGGCAGTTGGACAAGACCACCTGACTGTCTCAGCATTTCCATGTGGCTCAAAGCAGTAGCATCTCTAGTGCCTCATTACTATTTGTGTTGTGATAGAAGTGAATTCCATTCCTGAGCTAGAGGCCTCAGTATGCCAGGAACTATACAAGATGCACAGGAAAAGTCTGTCCCTGTACCGATTCTCCAAAGAGTGAGTGAGAGGAAGAGGAAAGGTTCTGACTAGAGTTGGCTGGAACATGGAAGTTCAGTTCCAGGGAAAATTCCAATGTTTGGGAAAAAAAGTTTTCATTCAGATTCAGAAAAAAAATGAAAGACTTAACTTTCAAAATTTCCTGCAGAAGGGAAATTCCAAAAATAGTTTATTCTGGAGAAATATTCCATTTTTATTAGATTTTTGTCCAAACAAAAGCTAAACTGAGTGTCCTGACTCCTGGAAGCAGCCCTCAGGGTCCCCAGCCACAGGGCAACAAGCCTAGAACTGGAGAATGCTGACTCCAAGCCCTCTAATAGCTGGAGCTAAAAGGGCTTCCAAATCAGTAGCTTGCAGCCTGGGGATCCTCAACTGCTAGGCAGCTCCCATGGAACCTGGGGCTTCCCTCGTGGCCCACCTAGTAAGTTAACAGGAAAGCCAGTTAAGTTCCTGTCAGAAACCTGCCTGTGTTCTGGCAAAAATTCATCCAAAACATGTTACCCAAGACATTTCCATATTGACAAACTGTCATTTTCCAACCAAACCCTGTTTCTTCAGAAAAATTCTCAATCCACTCTAATCGATTCATAGATGTTAGGGTCGGAAGGGACCTCAATAGATCATCGAGTCCGACCCCCTGCATAGGCAGGAAAGAGTCTCCTCTTGAAGACCCCCAGGGTAGGGGAGAGCACCACCTCCCTTGGGAGCCCGTTCCAGACCTTGGCCACTCTAACTGTGAAGAAGTTCCTCCTAATGTCTAGTCTAAATCTGCTCTCTGCTAGCTTATGGCCATTATTTCTTGTAACCCCCAGGGACGCCTTGGTGAGTAAAGCCTCACCCTCGATGCCCTCCTATTATGGATGGGATACTGAGATACACACTGGCTTGGTTGATGCCAACAGAGAGTCAGTGGCAAACCTGGGAACTGGATCCAGACTTGAGTCCCAGTCTAGTGCATCTCGGTTAACATTAAATACAAACCAGAATCAGAATTGGCCTCTTTCTGGCTGAGAAATTATGCTAATTCTACAGCAGGATCCATTCTATTCCAAGGGTCACCTGCACAAACCCACTATGTAATCAAGCAGAAGAGGTAAACCCCAAGAAGAACTTTTGGTCCTACAGGTGGAACCTAGTTAATTTTATAGATGTGCATGAAACACTCTCCCTAACTACCATGTTGACTCCAAGGGGTGAACAGAAGTGAAAATAAAGAATAAGGCCAGTTTACAGGCCAGGAATTGAGCAAAACTAGACTCCAAATCCACACAGGGAACAATCTTTGAAAAATAGAGCGAAAACTCCATCTGACAAATATGCAAAAATGAAGAGACTAAACCACAAAACCAGTTTCTTCCTCCAAGGAAAACGGTTGTGGCCAGGTGTGTATCTATCTCAGTTTACCAAGACTCTAAAATTAAAGACTCACTGTGTCTCTAAAATTAAAGACACACCAAGAGTCTAAAATTAAAGACTCAAAGACTCACTGTGAAGATAAAGACATAGTCATTTATTAACTAACAGGTCCCCACCAAGAGTTCCCATCCTGTATACATTGGCTTTGTATACGACCTAAAGTGGGTTCAAAAGAACTAATGTAGTGAGATGAATTCAAGACACTGGTTACAAATACAGAAAGAGGCTTTCAAGGATATTTTAACATCAGTCTGGGGAATAAGGTGGGGTCATACGGTTTGCATATTAGGCCAGCCTGCCTGAGGCTCAATGGAATGGGAGACAGCACGAGTCCACAGACCTGAAACCACTATTTATTATCTGTGTGTATGAAGGGAAGTGGGGCTCAACAATTTAAAGCTCCCGTGTGGTGCAAGGGGTGGGAAGGAACCTGGAAATTCACAGGAACTGGTCCCAGCCCCTGCACCACACAGGAGCTTGTTCATAGTAACCATAAATGTGCAACTTCTTAGCAAATGTCAAGTTGTATTAATGCTTACTATGATCTAAATATAAACGTGCTAAGCATAACATGTGCCAGTACCCTAAGAGACTAGAGATTACCAGGTGATGCAACATGCACTGATACAACACGCACATGTTCTACTAGTATTCTCGAACATCTGCATTCTATCAGATGACCTGGGGCAGGGGAGTAAAGAAAAAAAAGTAGCATTTTCCAAGGCCAATCCCTGGTTTTCAAATGTGGAAGCAAAATTGCTGTGGGTTACTCGCCCTGCACTGGTATCCAAAGTAAATAATTGCTAGCTTTAAATGACGAACACCCCCAGACACACAGGCATTTTCAGAAGGAGGCAAGCATTTTAATTTTATTTCTCATTTTAATGAAATCAAGCTCCCAAATCTTTAATGAGTCAGGAAAAAGGAGACATAATTTTCTATGGAGCTTTACAGAGAGACTCATAATATCTCAAATCTAAATCTACCCTTCCAGGAAAGCTTAAACCAAGCCAGTAGTGTCACAGACACATTCTAATCAAAAAAGGCATTTTCCACTGGGATGAGGACTTTGCATTTTAATGACACAGCATGGAAACTGACAAGTCTATTACAATTCAAGCACTTGCCAGATTAAGACTGGGTGTCTAGATGGCTTAGTGAACAGGGTGGAGAAGGAAATGGAACAATTTTGCATTCCACCTAACAATTCTGTTTATTCTTTCCTTATTGGTTTAAGATGCATGTCCTGGGCATGTTGGGGAAAGATGCTAGTCACACTCAGTGCCCATCTCTGCCCTTCATAAATGGCCTGGGTTGTATGGACAACAAGGAGTCTCTGAGGGATAAGAGGTAAAAAGTTCCTATACTACAATACATATTCCTGAGTTACACAGAAATGCTGAAGAGGTCCCTCTGGACACTGGAGGAAAGTAATGATATTTAAGACTTCTTCATGAACACAGCTGAGGCTCATTTACTGAGTCAGGTCTCATCAAGAAATACTGATGACTCAGAGTCATCTTCCAGCTCCATTTAGAAGAGTTTGGGGTTGGTCAAGGAATTCTCAAGCCAGGCATGTGTCACATTTTATTACAGTGTATCAGAGCCTGGATGGATGATGTGGAAGAGATCACAAAACATTTTTCTCCGTTGCTGGATGGTACACAGACTCCCCAAAAAATATTTGTAAGCTGTGCCTATTTGGGCTGGATGACACCTGACCGTAGAAACCAAGAAACAGAGCCCAACCCTGCCCACTTCAAATCTACTATCATTACATTGGTGTAATAAAGGATACACCTGGATAATAGCTTGATTTTGAAACACCATTTGAAAACTGAAGGTTATTCTGTTATTAATGGAAGTTCTGATGAGATCATGAGATTAACAGAAACTGGAGAGCTTGCAGAAACCAATGATGAAGCTGATAAAAGGGGCTGGAATGCAAATCATGAGGAAAGGCTGAAGAAACTAGTTACACTTAATTTGGAGAGAAGTTGATTAAGGAAGAACACAATAGTAGCCTTCAATTGTTTGAAAGGCTTCCATAGAGAAAAGGAAGAAACATTTGTTCTCCCTGGTCACAGAGGGCAGGGCACAAAGCAGTAGGTTTAAAACTAGAGCAAAGGAGATTTAATGTCAGGAAAGACTTCCAGTTAGAGCAATAGGATACTGGAACCAGCTATTTAGAAGAGCTATAGAATCTCCTTCACTGGAGGTTCCCAAGAGGATGTTGGGTAGGAATGTGTTTGGAATGGTTTAAGAATAGCAGATCTTGCCTGAGTGCAGTCAGTTAGACTAGATGACTTTTTTAGTCTCTTCCAAGACAATGATTTTAGAAGACACATGCTCTTAAAAGGCATAACAATACCTAGATCTAGTGTTACATTCTCCATCTTTTGATCTCCAAGTGCTTCACAAAGGAAGCCAGTATCATTCTCGCCATTTTACAGATGAGGACATTGAGGTACAGGAAGGGGAAGTAACTGTTCAAGGTTACCCAGCATTCAGTCAGGAATCAAACTCACGTTTTCCAAGTCCCAATCTGAGTCCCCTTTTCTATTCACCACAATAATTACTAGGAACAATTTCAGAGAACGTATTGCCTATAAATGTTTAACTTGTGCATGTTTTAAATAAAATCCCACATACCTTTTTATCCAGTTTTCGACCAGACATGCTCAGGGTAATCACTCTGTTATCAGACAGCTCTTGGGCAGCTATCTGAAAGACGAGAGAGATTTTTATTAATGTCTAGAATTACATTCCAGTAAATACAAAACTAAAAGATACAGAACAGAGTATGTGGAGTGTTTAGCAAGTTGTCTCACTATAAATTTTACAAAGCCTAGTCTCAGCACTTCATTACAAGGGGTTAAGAGTAATATTCCATCCTGGTGCAACTAGTAAATTTTAAACAGCCTGGAGACAGTCTACTACTTTGCCCAAAACACCAAAAGCACAACATTCACATCTCAGAGACATCTGCAATGTTATCATAGATTTAAGTCATTTAAGGTCCCAAACCTGCAACAGAATCTATGCAGGTCGATGCATCCACCTACACAGAGCCCCGCTGAAGCCAAATAAGAACCAGCTGCAAAAACTTGGATGTAAGTGTTGTAATTAAGATTCACTGAACCCACAAAGGTCTGTAAAGAAAATCTACGTCCTTTCACCTCTACGGTCTTAGGTATATTGGTTCTTTATTGTAGAGGCTGCTTAGATACTACTTTGCACCAGCCTAACACTAATTTCCAAGATTTCTACTTCCCGGCCAACAGAACCACAGTCAGAGGACTGCCTCTCTCTGTTCTCTCACCTTCCTTGGTGGCCTTTTTCACCGAAACATCCACAATGCAAACATTATGGGATGGTTTGAATAGGGATGATACTGCCTCAGGCAAGGGGGTGGTTGGACTAGATGGCTAGTGGAGGTCCCTTCCAACCCAGTTTCTCTGTGATTCTATGAATATAGCCAGTAGGGCTGTGAGAATTTTTGCCGGCTGTTTCATTTCGACGCTGTTTTGACTCGTTTCAAGCTCAAAATAGCAAAATTGAAACGAAACTAAGGGCTTTGAAACAGCCTCAAAATGAAACGAAGACAGTCAAAACATTTTGAATGTTTTGAAATTTATATAGGAAGGGAGATACATTTATAAATTTTTACAAAAACAAGACCCTATGAAACGCACCATGAAGCGTGGTAGAAAGGCAGCTGGCAAGCCTTCAGGGAAGGGCAGAAGAGGGGATAGAAGAAGTGTAAGTTCTCCCCGCACCAACCTGAGACACAGCCTCTTTGCTACAACTAAGAGGGATGAGGATTCCACAAGCAACAAGGAGAGGGGAGCAGTGCCAGTGCCACTGCCTGTGTCTGAGTCTGCATCTCCTCCAAGAGCACCAGCCATAACCCCCACCACCACCACCATGACAACAAGCAGCAGCACCAGCACCAGCATTTCAGTCTCCGCCACTCCCATTTCACTTCCCATACTGAGCTTTCCATTGCCACAGGAGGAGCTGCAGCTGAGTGCCCTAGCAAGGGAAATTCTGGGGAAGGAGAGGGAATTAGCCGAGTTTGTGCTCCACACCTCTCAAGTTTCCCTTAAAGCCAAGTCTCCTTCCCCAGAAAGCACTTCAGAGGAGGCTGAGGTAGAGGTTGCAGAGGCAAGCGGCTGAACTGAGTCCGTTCCTCCTGTTGCTGTGCCTCTGCCTGCTGAGGAGGGGTAAATTGCAGCATCCACACGTGTACCTGCACCCCAGAAGCAAGTGGGTAGTGTGGTCTGGGATGATGATCCCACTTATCCTATCTGCTTCCACTGCCAAGCCAAAACCAGCTGAGGCAAAGGAACAAAACACATGAGCACCATGGTGATGCTGATGCATCTCTGCAGGCACCAGCACCTTGCCCTTGCTCCTCCTCAGCCTGGTACCAACGGGAACATGCACAAAGTGAATTCCTCCTCCCACTCCAAAGCCCCTGTCTTCCCAAAGCAGAGGCAGGCCACCCTGGAAGAGTGGGGGAAAGGCAGACAGAAAGAGGGGCGCATTGCAAGGGCAAGCAAAATCACCCAGAGCATGGGGAAATACTTGCAGTCGAGCACCTTGCCCTTGCTCCTCCTCAGCCTGGTACCAACGGGAACATGCACAAAGTGAATTCCTCCTCCCACTCCAAAGCCCCTGTCTTCCCAAAGCAGAGGCAGGCCACCCTGGAAGAGTGGGGGAAAGGCAGACAGAAAGAGGGGCGCATTGCAAGGGCAAGCAAAATCACCCAGAGCATGGGGAAATACTTGCAGTCGATAGCCAGCCCTTCTCCTTAGTTGAGCGGCCAGGGTTCAGGTTGCTCATGGCCCCATCATACCACGTGCCCACATGCACCACCTTCAGCAGGACGGTGTTGCCCTCCTTGTACGAGGCATGCAGGGAGTACTTGAGGGAGGAGCTGCACAAGGCAGATCTGCAGAAGGCCTGACATTTCACCTTGGACATCTGAAGCAGCCAGGGTGGAGATCACGCCTACCTCTCCCTCACAGGGCATTGATGTAACCAGTCAGGCCATCGGTGGACTGTCTTTCAAGCCACACGGCAACAGATCATGTGAGATCATGGGGTCCATGAACCACTTGGTGCAGGGGTGGCTCGTTGGGCAAGGCAAGCTCGCTCACGGGGTCATGGTCACTGACAATGGGGCCAATATGGTCAAGGCAGTCTGTGATGCCAACTTTGTTGGCATCCACTGTGTGGCACACAAGTTCCACCTCATT